TATTTGAATTATTTTATTAAAAATATTCATAAATCATAACAGAACAGAAAAAAAATAAAAAAAGCTTTTCTACAGTCTTCATATATATGAACCAATAAAAACAAAGAACGAACACAAAGATAACAGACGTTATAAGGGCCAAGTCTTTATCTCATATAAGCATGAAAAATCTTAATTAGATAATTATGCATCGATTAATGATGATATGTTGATTCTTCTTAAATATGTTAATCATGATTCTTTTCGACGAACGAAATATTTTTGTAATTGTAAAAATGAAATTTTTTTATTACAACGATGAGAATCAAGAAACTTGAATTAGAAATTTTTATGAAATAATTTTCCAATAATTATATTTATTTTTTAGAAATTGACTGAAGTTTACTTGCGTCAATTTCAATACTAAAAAAAATGATCAATTCGATTAACATGTACATTATCAATCTATGCTAATATATCGAGTTGTTGAAATAAACTACGCATTTTTAGACATGTATGTCATTTGTTTTAAAATAATTAGTTACTGTTGTTTATTCGTTTCAGTTTAGTTTTATTTTTGCATATTATTAATTTTAGATATTAACAATAAATTTTGTTCGAAAAGTACGACTCATCGAACAAGATAATGTACGCGTTAATACCGCTTGGCACGCAATGAAAGTGAAGTATTTAAAATGCGTCGAAATAATGAACACGAAGACGAAGATGACGATCTTATGGACATCTCTAATTCACTGGATCCAGTAGCTGGCGATATTGCAGATAGCGATACCGTTGTTAGTAATGATTCAGCCATTTCATCATCATCTTCATCGTTGACATCATCGTCTGATGCTGAATTATATGATGAAGCTGATTCAAATTTATTTTTATTATTTCTTATCTTGTATTTCGTGTACTTCTGAATGCTTTGTGTTCATACGGATGATTGTGAATATAAAAAGACTTGTTTTGGTGTTTATATTTTATTATGTTTTTTTTCTAAAGGTTGTAATTGTATTTGATGTTCACGTGTGTTATTGTATGTTCATGTAGATCTTAAGTTTAAATATATTAGTACAAGATTTGAAGATCTTGCAGAGGTAAAACGAAAATACTATTCATTGAAAGATCTTATGCTCAAGATTTCGAATATCTGTTACCAAGATCTTAACAAGCTATACATAAGATATTAACAACCTGTACATAAGATCTTAACAATCTGTACCTAAGATCTGGTCACAGATCTTGTGTACAAGATAATCAAATTATCTGTACCTATTTTTTCAAGATCTGTTCACTTATCTGTTCCTAAGATCTTGGCCAAGATCTTGCTTACAAGATGTTCGACTAGGGTGAGTATCACCAGTTGCCGATCTTACCCTATTCTTTCTAGGTTCTTGTTTTTCATGACACCCACCCACACACGTTTTTTCATTATTTCCTGAAAACAACCCTTATTAAACACATTTCGATATTTTTCATATTCGAATCTCTATATTCCATTTTTTTTCTAGATTGTTTCACTATCGATAAAAGTATTACATATAATGAACCAAGAAAATATTGATTCATTTATGAAATTATTGTTTACTAATCCTCTTCGTATAGGTAAAATTTAATGTCGACTTTATATCTTCTTTTTTTTTAGAACTATCATCACAAACAAAGTGTAAAATACTTGTTAATGGATATTTTTCTACTTGCAAGAATAAAATGGAATTGATGTGTCTCATATTCAACGTGGTGCAACATTAAATATGACTGTTCAAGCTTTAGTACGTGCTGCATATGGTGATATAGCATCATTCAACGATCTACAACCAGATGAATTTGATATTTTGCTAGGTAAGATATATTTAAAACGTTGATTACTTTTAATATTTGAATATTCATTGTTTTAAAGATTATTTAGTAGACGTTCATGAACTTCATCCAGCAACTATTTTTACAAATAGTCAAACAATAAAAAATTCATTACAAGTAAATGAAACACGACAACAACCAGCCAACAAATACCAGATGCTCACGATAATAATGAAATTGGAAAAAATTAAGTTTTTTTTATATTGTTTTTTTATTGTATTAAAAATTGAAACTACTTCAAAAATATGTGAAATTCAAAGTACTTTTTTGTTCTTTTACATTTCTTTTTTGTACATCGTGTGGACAGCTTATAATAAAATGAAATGAAAATGATATAGTAATAACCTAGAAAAGGCTTTTTTAATATGACCAGAAACAGACAAGAAAATCAAGAAAGATAAGAATTAGACAAGACTTCAAGAAAGGAAAACAAGCATTAGGAAAGAATCTTGTCTGAAAATCAAGAAAAATAAGAACCTGAAACGAATGCGATAAGGTCGGCGATTGGTGTAGACTGGTATTCTGCGATGTGTATCTAGAAGTGCAAGAATGAACCTACGACTACGTGAGACTTGGGTAAAATATAGCTGTTTTGGCGTTCGCTTGGATACTGTGTGGTGATATGAGATTTAAAGAAACGAAACTTTCAATACAACAGAAAAATCTTTTTTTTCCATATTTTATCGTTTATCAATGTCTCAAAATATGTTTACTGTTAGAATCACGTATCGAAAAAAAAGAAAGTAGAAAAGAAGAAAAAAAAAGCGAAGCAAACCGTTTTTGCTTCATTTTATAATGACAGTGGTGGGATTCGAACCCACGCCAGTTACGACTGGTGCCTAAAACCAGCGCCTTAGACCACTCGGCCACACTGCCTATTTTATTTTATATTTTATATTTTATGTTCAGTTTACAGACGAAGCTCGAGTACGTGCTGAAAATTAAAAACGATTTGCTGGAGAAATATTCAATCAATATTTTCGCCTTTCAAATATTGTATAAATACATAGATTAGTGAATATAGACGTCGAGAAGCAACGAGAAGAATTTAAAATAAACTTTTCTTAGAAAAATTGAGATATTGAATTTCTATTTTTTTTTAAGTAAAAACATGTTATGTAATGTAATAGTACATCAGATCTAACAATTTTACTTAAAACGGATACATTTACATCTTTATGGTGTGATGAGCATCAATGAATTAATGTTAAATCAACTATGAAACAAACAAATCTTATTGTATCTCTTAATAAAGAATTGAATCTCAGAATTTATTCAAATCCAAAGGATTCATTATAAATTCAACGTATTCTAATTTATAAAAACGTTTAGATGATATTAAAAGAAAAAGAATAATACTATTAAATGAAAATCAATGAAAATATTACACAAACATAGACAAATAAATTAATTAAATCACTCTCAAAAGAAATATTTAATAATCAAAATGAAAAAGAGTTGAGGTATAATTTATGTATGTAATGCTGCTTGTTCGTCGTAATCAAATAATTCGTAACAAAATTACATTTCTGCAATGGAAATTACTAATAATTCATTTTTATGAATTTATGACAGATATATCTGATGTATTACATAATATTTCAGATAAACCATTTACATAGGTGAACTCTTACTGCACAAAAATATCATTTATCTTCAGATAGATATATTATAAAAAATGAAAATAATAAACGTGAATGTTTGTCTTAAATAAATTATATAATTATGATATTTTCAGTTATTCCTTTTTTTCAATATCGATATTGACGATGGTTCAAAGAAAGTTTATCATATAAAACAAAGTTACATAAGACAGAAAAATAAAATAGCATGTATATTCTCATTCTTTTCAGTAACTAACTCGTTGGTAATATTTTCGTCTTTCAACGTGTACATATACTTACATGATTCGCTTGAATGCACTTAAAATAATAAGATTGATTATTTTATTCATATGTGCAAAGCAATTGATAACTACATATAGAGGAAGTAAAAGAAAGAAAAAAACGAAAAAAGCAATATATCTATACGTATATACATATACATATATATATATATATATACGTGTGTACCTATATTTTCTTCCGTTTTATAACGACCGAAGGTAGACTACCCGCTAAGTATATAATCATTCTTTCAGTAGAGAAAACTGAATCATTTTTGAACTCATAGAACAATGCAGACTGTAGATCAAAGGAAAAAATCAACATCTGTTACTGTATCAATGGAAGATCCGAGAACAAGATCACATCGGACAATGAATCCTCGAATATTCCAAAATTTTCTCCTTATATGGCTAAATGACAGTATCGGTGAAATTAACAATGTCGATTACCAAAAGTCCATCGAAAAATTACAACAAGTAGTGAATAATGTAAACACATTCACCGACATCGATGAATGTATTGATTTTGTTACCGATGCGGAATCAGAAACAGTTATTATGATTATTTCTAGCAAATTTAGCCAAAATATTGTTTCCTTAATTCAAAACATTAGTAAAGTGAATTTCATCTATATACTTTGTGATAATAAGAGTTCGCTTGAAGAATGGATAGAACAATCTACCAAAGTAAACGGCGTTTATATGGATATTACACCAATCTGTGACGCAGTCAAGAAAGCTGCTCATCAGTGCGATCAAAATGCAGTTTCCATGAGCTTTATTAAACCGACTGATGGAGTTTCGAAGCAAAATCTGGATGAACTCGATCAATCCTTCATGTACACACAGATAATAAAGGAAATATTACTTACAATTGATTTTAAACAGGAACATATTAATGAATTTCTTGCGTATTTTCGTGAACACTTCGGCAACAATAGTCCAGAATTAAAAACTGTCGATAGAATCGAAAACGAATATTATAGCCATCGACCAATCTGGTGGTATACATCTAGTTGTTTTCTTTATCCGAAGGTCAATGAAGCATTACGCACTATGAAAGTAGATCGCATTATTAAAATGGGATTTTTTATACGTGATCTTCATGAACATATCATTGCATTGCATTCGGAACAGCATGCTGGACATCACTTTCCAGAATCGTTTACTGTGTTTCGTGGGCAAGGTTTGTCTCACGAAGATTTTAACAAATTAATGAAAACGAAAGGTGGATTAATGTCATTCAATAATTTCTTATCGACAAGTTCTAATCGAGAAATATCTTATATGCTTGCTTGCAGTAATGGAGATAATCCTGATTTGATAGGTATTCTCTTTAAAATCACTACCGACCCATCGACATCGTCTGCTTCTTTCGCTAACATTCGCGACCACAGCTTTTTTGAAGAAGAAGAAGAGATTCTCTTCTCTATGCATTCTGTCTTTCGCATTGGAGATATAGAGAAAATTGATGGAAATGATCGTCTTTGGCAGGTGAATCTAGCACTAACTGATGACAACGATCCACAACTGCATGTTCTAACTGAAAGCCTACGTCAAGAAACATTTCCTCATCTGACAGGATGGTTCCGATTAGGTGGAATACTGATTAGACTAGGTCAATTCAACATGGCTAAGGACGTGTTTGAAACTATACTTAAACAGACAACTGATGATTGTGAGAAAGCAGATATTTACAGTCATCTTGGAAGGATTAAGGATAACCAAGGGGAATATGAGGAAGCGCTTGAATTTCATAAAAAATCACTTGAAATTTCTCAAAATACGCTTCCTCTAAAGGACGCTGATTTGGCTACTTCCAACAATAATATTGGTTTAGCGTATAATCATATGGGTCAATACTCGGAAGCGCTTTCATATTATAACAAAGCACTCGAAATTCTTCAAAACAAACTTCCTCATAATTTTAAGAGTTTGGCTGTTTCATACAACAACATGGCTGGAGTTTCCACCAACATGGGTGACTACTCGAAAGCACTTTCGTTTTATGAAAAAGTACTTGATATTCGACGAAACACCCTTCCACCAAATCATCCTGATTTGGCTATTTCTCATAACAATATCGGTGATTTGTATTGCAAAATGGGTGAATACTGGAACGCACTTGAGTCTCATGAAAGAGCACTTGAAATTTTGAAAAAATCGCTTACTCTAGATCATCCTGATTTAGCTACATCTTACAATAATATCGGTGCAGCTAATGCTTATTTAGGTGAATACTCAAGAGCCCTTTCGTTTTATAAAGAAGGTCTTGAAATTCTACAAAAACCTTTTGCAAATTGCTCTGATTTGGCTACTTGTTACCACAACATTGGAGATGTATATTCCAAGATGAGTGAATACTCCAAAGCGCTTTCCTATTATGACAAAGCACTCGAAATTCGACAAAAAACTCTATCACCACATCATCCTGAGTTGGCTATGTTGTATGTCAAGATCGGTTCAGTGCATTCTCAGATGCTTGAATATTCGAAGTCACTTTCGTATTATCACAAGGCTCTTGAAATTTTTCAAACTACTCTCCCTTCAAATCATCCTAATTTCGCTATTTCTTACATCAATATTGGCTTAGCCCACGACAAAATGGGTGAACCATCAACAGCACTTTCATATTATGATAGAGCTCTTCAAATTCAACAAAAAACTCTTTCTCCAAATCATCCTGATTTAGCTAATTCATACAACAACATCGGTGCAATTCATACCAATCTCGGTGAATACTCGAAAGCCCTTTCATATTATGAGAAAGCACATGAAATTCTAGAAAAAAGCCTTCCTTCAAATCATCCTAATTTGGCTATTTCTTATGGCAACATCGCCTCAACGTATAGCACGCTGAGTGAATACTCGAAAGCACTTCCGTTTCACGAAAAAGCACTTGAAATTCAAGAAAATACTCTTACTACAAATCACGAGAGTTTGGCTATTTCTAACAATAACATTGGAGACCTGTATTCCAAAATGGGCGAATACGCAAAATCACTTTCATATTATAAAAAAGCACATGAAATTCTAGAAGACACTCATCCTCCAGATCATCCAAGTTTAGCTACTTCTTATAACAACATCGGTGTAGTTTATGCCAATCTCGGTGAATACTCGAACGCACTTTCGTATTTTAACACTGCTCTTAAAATTAAACAAACAGCTATACCTCCGAATTATCTTAGTATGGCTATGTCGTACAGCAGTATTGGATCAATGTATAACAAAAAGAGTGAATACTCGAAAGCGCTTTCCAATCATGAGACAGCATTTAAACACTTTCAAGAAGCGCTTCCTCCAAATCATCCTCATTTGGGTACATCTTGCGGCAACATCGGTGAGGTGTATGACAACATTGGTGAATATTCAAAAGCACTTGAATATCATGAAAAAGAACTTAAAATTTATGAGGAAATACTTCCCCCAAATCATCCAAATTGGGCTTTTCCTTACAACAATATTGGTTTGGTCTATAATAAAATGGGTGAATACTCGAAAGCACTTCCGTTCCACGAAAAAGCAATAGAAATTCGACGAGCAACACTTCCTTCAAATCATCCTCATTTGGGTACTTCTTACAATAACATAGGTTTAGTCCATGATAACATGGGTGAATACTCGAAGGCTCTTTCATTTTATGAACGTGCTTTGGATATTCGACAACATTCACTACCTCCTGATCATCCTGATCTTCAAGATGTTCGAAAGAATATTGATAATTTAAAAAAGAAATTATAATAGATGTTTTCTTGTTTGTTCAAAAATAAAGAGTTTTAGATAAAAAAATCTATTTTTGAGTGACAGAAACCAGGTAAATGTGTGTACAGAGAAACTGTCTCTCATCGAATCTCGCATATGGAACGATATGTACTGATCTGTCAAGTTAAGGATATATACAGTAAACTGATGATTATGTATCGTGTACTACTTTACGTATGAAATCAAGAAGTGTTTTGTTGTGTCGAATAGAGGAGGGTGGGTGTGGGTTTGGGTGAGAAATAGATAGAATACTCACACTCACACCCACCCTCAAGATGCAAGCTCGAGTACATGGTGAAAAAAACGTATCGAAAATGAAAACGACTTGCTGAAGAAAAAGTCATCGTAGCTAAAGAAATGGTTCATTCTCAAAAGAGATACAACGTTTGTTATATGAACACTCTCTGCAAAATAGGAAAGAAAACTATGCATTAGATTTCAACTCATCAGCTATTTGATCCTTATCACTATTTAATATATTTTTTTAGCTATTTAAAGACTTGTCAATTATCTATGTACTACGAGTTTATTTTTTCGATGAGGTAATTAATCTCCAGCACTATTTAATAATTTTTTAGCTATTTAAAGACTTGTTAGCTATTTATTTATGATGAATGTATTTTTTTTGTCAGCTACTTAATCCCCAGCGATATTTAAAATACTTCTATAGCTATTTAATCTTCTCATTATATCCTGATGCATAGCTATTTAAATCACCAGCACTACTTAAACTTGTATAGCGCTATTTAAATCGTTGTTGACTGTAAACAAAAATTCAAAACGCATATATCTTGCTGATTTAATATAGTATACTATTATTACTTGCCTCAAATGAGTCATCCTTAAAACAGGTACTTTTCAATATATCATTCTTTTATGAACATCTTCTAGTTAGTTAAATAACTTTTGATGTATTTATATATGTATATTCATGAACAGCTATTTATTAAAAGGTACTAATTATTTTTCGAATAAGGGTTGTGAAAACGTGGACGGACAATTCGTCACACATGTAATTAATTGTAACAAGATTGATATTTGTGTAAGACAAATTTTTATTGATAGAATACCAATTAATTATAAATGATAAATAATTTTATTCATGAGAAATGTCTTTGACGTTCGACCGTATAAAGATAACCTTTATAAGCAAGCATTGATTTTTTCTTTTCGCTTAAGAGTGTTTTAATTTCACTCATTACTTTTCAGTAGATAATTGTATGAGCAAGATAAATCAAGTGACATTGTTCTGTTTTTGGAATCTTTCATATTAAATTTTTCGATTAATTGATCTTTCTCAATTTTCTCAAATCCTATTATAAAATTGGATTTGACTTTCAGAGGATAACAGAGTTTAAAGTAAAACTTTCTTAGAAAAATTAAAATATTGAATTTCTATTTTTTTTTATTTTTCTTTAAAAGTGAAAACATGTTATGTAATGTAATGGTACATCAGATCTAACAATTTTACTTAAAACTGATACATTTACATCTTTATGACGTGATGAGTAACAATGAATTAATGAGGATGAACGTCAATATTATAATCATCTCATATCCATCTTTAATAATCCACAAAGTTCTATAAGTACATGGAAAAAACAATTTACACTTGCAGATAATAATAGATTTATATTATTCAGGAACATACAAAGTCTGTTCGTGACTATATGTCATCTCCAAACTATAAGAGTTTTTAATTTTTAAAAAGAAAAACTAATCCTACCATAGAAAATTTATTAGTAAATTGTTACTATTAATGGATATTCATTAGTATAATACTCTTTCACACCGATAGTTCCTCATTATATTTTTTTTCATCATTTCATAGATGAACACAGCAACTTTGCCAGTTTCTCTCTTACAAGATTCAAATACTTCACTCGTAATTAATCAATCATGGTTTATTCCTCTCGATATTCTATTACTTACATGTCTTTTTCTAGCCATTCTCATGTCTTTATTATTTTTCTTTATTGTTTTAGCCGATAAAACATGTCACACAGTTCCTCTTATACTTGTTACTCATTCGTGTTTTGCTAGTTTTTTATTAACGATTATTTTATTCTGGGCGACAATTATTACTTTTCATAATGATCTTCAACAAATTTATTATCAAGATTTATTTTGTATTTTTCGAGGTTATATGACTTATGTAACTTTTTTTGGATTATATTATTCTTATTTTTTACAATCAATTTATAGTTATATAACAGTTATTTATCCGACTCGTTTATTTTGGCGATCAATGAAAATTCAATTTTTTCTCATTATTTTAATATGGATATTTGCTTTTATTTTTGCATGTCCCGTTATAGTTGCTAATGAAATAAAATATCTTATTGATGATCAAGTATGTCAAATGCCATTTCATCTTTCTATCGTAACAATTTATAATATAGTTTATATTTATATAATACCAATAAGTGGTATTATGTTTATTTATTTGAAATTAATTCGATATGTTAGAGAAATGAATAAACGTGTTACATTAGTAAATACATTATTACGTGCACAAAGAGAATTAAAAATGGTTTATCGAATAGTTATACTTATATCAATTTTATTAATACTTAGTGTACCTTATACAATATTTGTTTTCATGGGATTTTTTACTTTAACACCAAAATATAGTTTTCGTATTGCTCTGACATTTGCCGAGGCATCATTAGTATTTGTCATGATTGCTTTATTTAAATTTACTGAACCAGTTCGAACATCATTTATGAAAAGGTTACATCAACGATCACATGTAGTCGCACAACTATGACAGGAATAATTTCATTTTTTCTAAATATTATCAAAAATTTCTTTTTATTACATATGATGAACGATGATCTATTTATATGAAGAGTTAACTTCTAATTCAAGACTGTTAAATATAAAGTTTTCTAAATATAACGACAAGAAAATTTATTTCATGTTTCTGGTTTGAACATTCCATTTATATCGTTTAGACATGTTTTCTTTACTTCTCATATAAATGTGAAACGCGGTTATCAAAGAAAACTGCGTTCAGACGCAGTTTTCAGATGTATTCAGGCGCATTTATATTAATTGACCATACTTTTATACGTTTAAAAGATCAAACGTAGTCAAACTGGAATGTGTTTTATTCTTTGAACAAATATAGATGCGTCTGGATACATTTTGAAGTAAAGATAAAATTAAATAATTATCAAAACTTTAGTGAATTTGGATTTGTTTTGATGATTAGATGTGATTTATCAATCTTTCGATGAAATTTAGTAATTTTCATGAATACTATTCAGAAGTCCTTAGTTTTATTTTTTTATTGAATTATTTTTCTTTCTAGAGAAATTGAATATAAATTAAAAATGATCAAAAGATCTTCTATTTGAGAATATAAAATAAGTTTGATAAAACAACAAGAACATTGTCATACAAGACAGAAATAATTAATTAACCATGGTCCTCATCAATGGGCTTAGAGTCATCAATAACCTCCCAAGAAACATTATATGAACAAAAGAAAAATATTCATTTTTTTCAATGTAGTAGGTTTTCGCAATTTAGAAAAAAATAAAAAAAACTTAAAAGAAGTGGGCGATCCTCTTAAAGATATAATAACGCCTGTTGCCTCTTCAATATATCACTTGATGCTTTATCCTTTTTTAATTACATTTTTTTTTGTATTTATCAGAGAATAGATTAGAAGTGATGGAGAGAGTATTAAATTTTCAATTATCGGTATGTGAATAAATGCATCTGTTATATTTCAATTAAATTTACTTAAGATATTATATCCATATTTTAGAAATAAAAGCACACAATTTTCAACAAAATTATTTGAGTTTAGACTTAACTATGAGTAGAGTCAGGATATACTGCTATATTGATGTCACTAGTTTCAGGTAAATAATATTGATTTTTATCATTCATTTTGTTAATATTTTCATCGATTTTTTTATCTTAGCCTCACAGGTTTGCTTTCTATTCTATTTTATACATTTTTTTAATTAGTTTATCACTTTTATAGTCAAATTTAACATTCACATATGTGAGAACATTGCTCAATATAGTGAATGTTCAACAAATAGTGCTTGTGGTTGTTTCCATAGGATAGGTATCAATGATGATACAGGTGTTTGTGGTTTTCTTTGGCCAACATGTTCTCGTCTTTTACGGTGCAATTCTTCAGACAATTCATATCCTCAATCAAATACGATCTGTGTTCCACATCCTCGATGGCATAATCTTCCTCAATGTTATCCAGTGGCAATGATAAGTGAGTAGATCGATGAATGATAGATGTGTGTAACGATAAATTTGATCTATTTTAGATAAGACCAATTCTAAATGGAAGCAAAATGAGATAACTGCTGCTGAAAGAAATGAGTTTAGAAATCAAGTAAATCAACTGTTGAGGGTGTGGATG